CGTCAGGAGCCAGGTCTGCTTCCTTCCTTCTCTGCTCCCCGTGTGTCCTCCCGTCCGCGCCAGCGCCCGGGTCGCGGCTGTCCCACGGTGGAAAGCGAGACTGAGCGCCGCGCCCGCCCTCGGCGCCCGCCATTGGCCGCGGCGCCGCCTCATCTGCATGCAAGGGGCGGGGCCTGAGGGCGCCGCGTGGCCATTGGCCGAGGCTCCCGTCACTCTCTGGGACGCGCTGGCGCTCCCAGCTCGTGGTGTGGGGCCCCAAAGACAACGAGGCTCTCGGCCCTCCACCTGGCCCTCCCGAGTGGTCCCTTCCACGGCCGCCTCGGCGCCGTCCATTCCAGGCTCCTCGCGTCTGCGGGCCCAGAGTGCGGGGGGGGGGAGGGTGGCGCTGCGTCCCGGCCGGCCAGGCGCCTCCGTGGCCTGGGGTCCCCCAGGCTGCCTTCCGCCTCCCGCGGCCCCTCGGGGAGCGCCCCCGACCCGGCTCTCCTAAGGGGGCTCCCGGCGGGCCGTGGGGGCTGCCTGCTGCGCAGGACCGTGCCGCAGGGCGCTCCGCTCGGGCTCAGTGCCTGAAGGCATCCGAGGAGAGGACGGGTCTCGGCCTGGCACAGCCGCCCCTCTGGGCCCCGTGTGGGTCGCGAGTCCCTGGGGCGTGACCTGCAGGTCTCCCGCGAGTCGGGGCCTGTGTGCGGGCGCCCTGCCCTGGGCGGCCTGAGCTTGGAAACGCAGGGTCCTGTCCCCGTCGGCCTGCGGGCCAGGCCGGGCTGAGGGACGTGAGCCGCAAACGAGCAGGTGTTTGCGGATACAGGCGCTGTCCGCGTCTTCCTGCGGAGCAGGCACCCCGTGCAGCCCACGGACGTAACCACCAAAGTGCATCAACCTTCACACTTACGGTGGGTGGGCTTTATTCCGTGTAGATAGTCATAACTTTTGAGACAAAGCTTAAATGTAGGTACATCATAGGCAAACTTAGAGAAACCAAAAAGAAGAAGGAAAAAAACGCGACGACAGAAACTGAACAGAACAGAGTAAGAACTACAGTTCAGAGACGGCTGACCCAGGAGTCAGGGGGTAGCATAACGCTGAGAAGGTCCAGTCGGGATTCCAGACTCAGTGCCCGGCAGGTTCTCGAAGGAAAGGTGGCGGCCGCCTCACCGGCCCGCCCAGGCTCTTGGGCGGAGAGTGAAGACCAGCAGAGGCGGCGAAAGGGGCCGCGGAGCAGGCGCTGGAGAACGGACCCAGCTGCCAAAGCGGGCCGGGCGGGGGACCTGGGCAGGGCCGGCCTGGCCTCCCCGCGGTCACCGCCTTCAGAGGCCGCAAGGCGGCTCGGGGCAGAGGCGCCACGGGCCAAGGGGCCGTGGGACCAACCCGCGGAACGACGGAGCCTCCCGCTGTGACCCGCCCTCAGCCCAGCCCTCAGGCTCGGAGACCGGCGCTGCGGGGCTGCAAGTGGGCGCGTGCCGGCAGCCGCGCCGGGCGGGTCCTGGAGGACCGCGAACCTCTGCCCCCGAGATCCGCGGGGGAGGCGC